TTACGACATGGTATAAGAATTCCAACCAGAAATTCTACTTGAGTAGAATTTCTGGTTGCAATTCTTATACCATGTCGTAGCTCAATCGATTCAGGCAAGGTCTAGGATGCTCTCGGACGTAGGTTCGAATCCTCGTCACGGCCCTTGTGGATTTGTTCATTTGATGCATCACTCTATTGTGATTTCTGAGTTATATATATATATGAACCTTTTGTTACAAATAGCTCACATATCGCAGTGAAGTGGCTGGCGTGTCAACACAGTCTAGAGTGGTACTGCCCTGCCTGAAGCCTCCAGTCAAAGTACGCTTATGTGTTTTCAAAGCAAGACAAGTATATTCTATTAAGGTCATGCCAATCCACAAGAACATAAAGAAGTTATGTAGGTGTACTTAGTAATGTCATGTTCATACATAACAATGTATACAAGTATGATGCAGTGTATAGAAGTATGATGTAACATATACAAGTATCATGCAGCATATAGAGGTATGATACAGCATATACAAGTATGATGCAGTGTATAGAAGTATAATGCAACAAATACAAATATATGTGCCTGGGCGCCTGACAGCTGAGTGAACAGCGCTTCGAATTCATAGTCCTGAGGTTCCGGGTTCCATCCCCGGTGGAGACGGAGATAAATGGGCAAAAAGTTTCTTTTCACCCTGATGCCCTTGTTACCTAGCAGTTAATAGGTACCTGGGAGTTAGACAGCTGCTACGGGCTGCTTCCTGGAGGAGGGGGGGGTGTAACAAAAAGGAGGCATTGGGTCGAGGACCGGGCCGCCGGGACGCTAAGCCACGAAATCATCTCAAGATCTCAAGATATGATGCAGGATATACAAGTATGATGCAGCATATACAGGTATGATGCAGCCAATACAGGTATGATGCAGTGTATGCCAAATAACGACCCTTCTTAACACAGCAAGTCTTAAAATAGTGTAAATAATACAAAGCGTAAGTAATTTTTGTGTATTATTTTCTTCCACAAACGTGGCCACACATTTACAATGCTAACCAGCATATATGCATTTTTTTCTGTCCTTCATGAACAGGGTGAAAGATGTGTTAAACATATAGTTCAGGGATTTATTGAACAGTCAACCACAGAAGGTGATTGTAGTGCTTTTAAAATGTTAATCTAACCTACATATAAAATACACAAATACACAGACTTACGTGTGTCCTACATAACCAATGTTCGAGGTGTCTTTTACATAGTGTTATCAGTGTGCATTTACAATGGTGAAAACATACAAACATATATATATATATATATATATATATATATATATAATATATATATATATATATATATATATATATATATATATATATATATATATATATATATATATATATATATATATATATTTTAAGATGAATATGAAAACCAAGGATATACTGAACATCTTGTATCAGAATCTTTACTTTAAAAAACATAACGTTTCGAATACTTCTCGTATTCATCATCAGATCTAAAAGAAAAAACAGAAATCACAATCAAATAGCTGGTAAACAAAGAACTCATACTGAATATAATTGCCTATCAAAGAAAGGAAAATGCTTAAAAAACATAGCACTTAAGCGCACTTAAAGTGATCAATACAATAAAACTTATTAACTGTCACATATATTAAAAACTAATTTAAAAACCACTAAACTACAAGATGAAATTTATAACTACTAAAACAAACCATTCCATTAAACTTACGTGAAGTGATCAGAAGTGAAACTTGATACTTAACACATAGATACTAAACACTATAACAAATATTTATATAATGACTACAAATCTGCAAAAAATGTATGTAAAATACAAACAGAATAAACGACAATTATAAAGTACTAACCAAAATCTTATAAAAAACTCAAATATTAATTAAAATTAAATACCAAAAAATGTATTATATATCCTAAATAAAAGATTATATTAATGTACAATGTTAAGACTTGAAATAAGTAAGAAAGGGCAAAGACATGGTAAACTAAACAAAATTAAACTACCAAAATAAACTAAAAATCAAATTACAGGGCCTACTGTGCACTATACAGTGTACAATTGAACAGCTGAAAGGTTGTTATTTAACAGAGGCCGCAGCTCCTTTATATATAAGGATTCCATTACTCTCAAATCTGACTGGCCATTCATACAAGTGTCCAGAATTTTAAAATCAGATTCCAGCAGAGAATGATCAAACTCATAACAATGGTTTCTAATCTCCGAAAATGCTGGTTTAGACAATGGTAATCCAGTCCTAAAAGATAATCCCCGGTGCTCAAGTATCCTAATCTTAAAGTTCCGAATGGAACTCCCGACATATCCAGCATTACAGCTGGAACAATTATACATATGTACGACATTTGAGCACAAGGGGGTAGGCACTTTATCTTTAAATTTAAAATAAGAGCCTATGGTATTTGTGTTGACAAAAATAAATCTAAAGTCTACTTGAGGATAACACTGCTGCAACAGTCTCCTCAAACGACTCCTTACAGAAAAGCTAATACTGCCATAAAATGGTAATTTAATATATTTAAGATCCCTTTCCACTGTAGTAATCCTACACGATGGGTGAAACTTCTTATTTAAGAAATTCCTTATAAAAGTATAAACCATATGCACAGGATAACCATTATTTGAAGAAAAATTCACAAGAAAATTAATTTCCTGATCAAAGTTATTCCAATTAGAACATAAAACAAAGGCCCTATTCAGAAGAGTGTTAATAGCATTTTTCTTAAAAATATCAGGAACAAAGGAATTAAAAATTTTAGGACTGGATTACCATTGTCTAAACCAGCATTTTCGGAGATTAGAAACCATTGTTATGAGTTTGATCATTCTCTGCTGGAATCTGATTTTAAAATTCTGGACACTTGTATGAATGGCCAGTCAGATTTGAGAGTAATGGAATCCTTATATATAAAGGAGCTGCGGCCTCTGTTAAATAGCAACCTTTCAGCTGTTCAATTGTACACTGTATAGTGCACAGTAGGCCCTGTAATTTGATTTTTAGTTTATTTTGGTAGTTTAATTTTGTTTAGTTTACCATGTCTTTGCCCTTTCTTACTTATTTCAAGTCTTAACATTGTACATTAATATAATCTTTTATTTAGGATATATAATACATTTTTTGGTATTTAATTTTAATTAATATTTGAGTTTTTTATAAGATTTTGGTTAGTACTTTATAATTGTCGTTTATTCTGTTTGTATTTTACATACATTTTTTGCAGATTTGTAGTCATTATATAAATATTTGTTATAGTGTTTAGTATCTATGTGTTAAGTATCAAGTTTCACTTCTGATCACTTCACGTAAGTTTAATGGAATGGTTTGTTTTAGTAGTTATAAATTTCATCTTGTAGTTTAGTGGATTTTAAATTAGTTTTTAATATATGTGACAGTTAATAAGTTTTATTGTATTGATCACTTTAAGTGCGCTTAAGTGTTATGTTTTTTAAGCATTTTCCTTTCTTTGATAGGCAATTATATTCAGTATGAGTTCTTTGTTTACCAGCTATTTGATTGTGATTTCTGTTTTTTCTTTTAGATCTGATGATGAATACGAGAAGTATTCGAAACGTTATGTTTTTTAAAGTAAAGATTCTGATACAAGATGTTCAGTATATCCCTGGTTTTCCTATTCATCTTAAAATTAAGATTCCCGAAGGGAACATCGATCATAAATATTTTATATATATATATATATATATATATATATATATATATATATATATATATATATATATATATATATGTGGCTGACTTACACACAGGTGAACAGGCGCATTAGGGTGAAAGAAACTGCCAATTTTTGTTTCCGCCTTCGCCTGGGATCGATCCCGGACCTTATTACTACGAATCCCGAGCGTTGTGCACTCAGCCGTCAGGCCCCATATAGTGTGTGTGTGTCTAGTCACCTAGTTGTATATGCGGGGGTTGAGCTTTGCTCTTTCGGCCCGCCTCTCAACTGTCAATCAACTGTTTACTAACTACTTCTTTTTTTTCTCCCCACAACACACACACACCCCAGGAAGCAGCCCGAGACAGCTGACTAACTCCCAAGTACCTATTTACTGCTAGGTAACAGGGGCATTCAGGGTGAAAGAAACTTTGCCCATTTGTTTCTGCCAGGTGCGGGAATCGAACCCTCGCCGCAGAATTACGAGTCCTGCGCACTATCACCAGGCTACCAGGCCCGAACGCGCACGCGCGCATGTGTACAATGATACAGTGAAGATCATTGTACCACGAAATAATTAACGGAAAAAACACGACCCAAACAAAAGCAATAGAACAGTCATAATGACAAATGGCATTTTGCTGTAAATATTAATTAGCATTATTATATTATTGAATACTCTGAAAACTATATTTGTTTATCATAGAACGTTAACATTAATATTTCAGGACTTCGGAAGTAGTTGAAATTTATGGAAAATTCATGCAAAATATGGCTTCTGTAGATGGACAAAATCTTTGGGGTAAAACAAAAAATATGCTATAGAACTTGTATTTTCACTCCTTAAAGCTAATTAAAAATGATGGCCATTAGAGTCAGTGGATGAGCTGACTATGAGGGCGCGAGAAGGCCACATTGACGAAGGAAATCTGATTAAGTGGTTTTCCTTCATGTCATGTTTCCCAATGTCCTCTTAATTGATTACATACAGTTGAAGCTTTTCTGCCTTTTATCATTTATAAGTGAACACCTCACTAGGCAGCAGGAAGTGAGTGCGGACAAAACACGGTATATTGTAAGGGGACAATGATGGCTGGAAGCGGTTTCAAAGATGTGAATGATTGTTCATATTGTAGATGATTATTCACGAGGAGCTGTGGACACCGTCTCTTATAAGAAGCGAATGTGGTGCTGTTGAGAATTATTGCTGGAATGCTTGGGTGATTTTTTCCTTCATAATATTTCATACCAATATTTTTCAATGTAATATTCAAATTCTTTTCACTATTTTCTTTCCCTTTTCAGTTCGAGCTGATTATAAAAGTGATAAGGTACCCCTCCCATAAAAGTGATAAAGTTTACGAATTACCTTCAGGAGATACAATTACTATTAACATGGAAGGCAGCAAAGTAATACACACTCCCTCTTTGAGTGACCTTCTAAAATTCAGAGCGTGAGGAAGAGTGAGAGGGCGATATGTGGGGTCGAGGGAAGGGCAGAGATAACTTTTTTGTTGGCGGAGCTTGGTGAGCGCTCGGGTATAAAGGTCGGACAAGCATCATCTAGCATCATACTCCAGCAGCTCCTCCTGTGGCTGACTCTTCTGTACTACTCTCACTCTCTCTAGTTCATCTGCTGACCGACAACAATGAAGGTTCTTCTGTTCGTTGGTAAATATAGAATAACTTCATTGCAGTGATCATTCTTGCTATAATGATTTTTGGAATGTAAAGAGAATTTCGTAAGAATGTTTCATATCGAAATTGTTATTAACAATATTCATGTTTCTTACAGCCCTGCTGGGATTGTCCATCGCTGACAAGCGACCTTCAAATAGTTACGGAGCCCCAAGTGGAGGTTTTGGTAATGGGTTTGGCGCCTCTAATGGAGCCCCAAGCAATGGTTACACAGCCCCCGGAAGCAATGGTTTCGGAACACCTGCAAGGAATGGAAACGGTGCAGCCTCAGGCAATGGGTTTGGACAAACCTCAAGCAACGGGTTCGGAGCTGCACCAAGCAATGGATACTCAGCTCCCCCAAGTAACAGGTACGGTCCCCCGACAGGTTCCTATGGACTAGATGCCGAGCTGGTTGCTCTGCAGGAGAACATCCCCGGTGGTGGCGTCCCCGGGGAAGACTACCCTGTCTTGGCTTCTCCACCAGACACTGACTTCTCCTGTGACGCCCAGACAGTGGCTGGCTATTACGCCGATACCGACCCTGAGGCCCGTTGCCAGGTGTTCCACATTTGCCAGGACCGCGCCGTCAGACGCCAGAAGGACTCCTTCCTGTGCCCCAACGGTACCATCTTCAACCAGCAGTACCTGGTGTGCGACTGGTGGTTCAACGTTGACTGTTCCCAGGCTGAGAACTTCTACTCCGTCAACGAACTCATCGGCGTCGTCCCCGACGTTGGCTATGGTTATGGTCCTGCCACCAACGGCATTGGCAACGGTAATGGTAACGGTGGCAGTTATGGAAATGGCAACGGAGCCAACGGAAACGGAAGGAACGGAAATGGCGCAAATGGAAGGAATGGTAGCAATGGTTACAGATCCAACGGCAATGGAAGAAATGGAAATGGTGCCGGTAACGGCAATGGTGTCAATGGCAACGGTGTGAATGGGAATGGTGCCAGCAACGGATATGTTGCTACATCTGCTCCCTCCGCTGCCTACGGAACTCCATTTTAAAATAGGCGTAAAGCCCAACACCAAACGACGCCTTTACTGTATTTTAAATATTTATTCAAATGACTATTTTATCCACTAAATAGTCACAACTATTGTCTATATAGTAAACAATAAACATTTTATGAATGAATTTCTATATTATTAACACACATAACTCTCGAATCAAGAAAACTAACATAATACTGAGACACATTCACGAAGTTAATGCAATGCGGTTCGTGAGGTTGGCTGCATATACATATATATGTATCTTCTGTTACGAATAACTCACATATCGCAGTGAAGTGACTAGAGTGTCAACACAGTCTAGAGTGGCACTACACTGCCTGAAGCCTCCTGTCAAAAAACTGTCAAAGTACGCTCATGTGTTTTCAAAGCAAGACTAAGTGTGTATTATATTAAGATCATGTCAATTCACAAGAACATAACAAAGTATGTAGGTGTACTTAATAATGTCATGTTCATACATAAATGTATATAAGTATGATGCAGCGTATATAAGTATGATGTAGCGTATACAAGTATGATGTAGCGTATACAAGTATGATGCAGCATATTCAAGTTTGATGTAGCATATACAGGTATGATGCAGCGTGTGTCAAATAACGACCCTTTGTAACGCAGCAAGTCTCAAAATAGTTTAAATAAAACCAAGCGTAAGTAATTTTTGTGTATTATTTTCTACTACAAACGTGGCCACACATTTACAATGCCAACCAGCATAAATTCATTATTTTCTGTCCTCCATTTAGAGATCTGTGGAACATATAGTTCAGTGATTTGTTGAACAATCACCCACAGAAGGTGATTGTAGTGCTTTTAAAATACTAATCTAACCTACAGACATGACTACATAGATACACAGAGTTACGTCTGTCCTACATAACCAGTGTCCGAGGTATCTTTTACATAGTGTCATTAGTGTGCGTTCACAAAGGTGAAATGCAAGTCTGATCAGTTTACACATATCCTGTAAACACATACAAACATATATATATATATATATATATATATATATATATATATATATATATATATATATATGCAAACAAGCCTGAATATACATGTATATATGTATATATATACATATATACGATGTATATATATATCTGGGGTGTGAGTTTTCAGTTATATATATATATATATATATATATATATATATATATATATATATATATATATATATATATATATATATATATATATATATATATATATGTCGTACCTAGTAGCCAGAACGTACTTCTCAGCCTACTATGCAAGGCCCAATTTGCCTAATAAGCCAAGTTTTCATGAATTAATTGTTTTTCGACTACCTAACCTACCTAACCTAACCTAACCTAACTTTTTCGGCTACCTAACCTAACCTAACCTATAAGATAGGATAGGTTAGGTTAGGTAGGGTTGGTTAGGTTCGGTCATATATCTACGTTAATTTTAAATCCAATAAATAAAAACTGACCTCATACATAATGAAATGGGTAGCTTTATCATTTCATAAGAAAAAAATTAGAGAAAATATATTAATTCAGTAAAACTTGGCTTATTAGGCAAATTTTCCTAATAAGCCAAGTTTTGGTATATATATATATATATATATATATATATATATATATATATATATATATATATATATATATATATGTGTGAGTTCTCTCACATTGACAGTGGCTTGACGAAAAATGCAGACTAACCTCACACTCATCTGGTGCCCTCGGGAAGTGGAGATATTTGAGATGTATATATATCTCGAAGTCTCTACTTCTTTTGTAGGGTCTGATGGTGTAGTGGGTTAAAGCATACTAGTTATGGCAGCTACTGGAAGGTAGTTGTGCTTTCTGGGTTCGAGTCCCACTGGTGGATGTTGTCCAAAGATTATATATATATATATATATATATATATATATATATATATATATATATATATATATATATATATATATATATATATATATATATATGTTTGTATGTGTTTACAGGATATGTGTAAGCTGATCAGACTTGCATTTCACTTTTGTCAACGCACAGGCTTCACTTATGCGGTGAGCTAATAACTTCCTACATCTGACATAATACTGTCAGATAGAGCCATACATAATACTGGTTCGTTATTTTAGGACTGTTCATGTCAAAAACAAAGTTGCTCACTCAACAGTGCGTTGTCTAGTAAAAAGTATAAAAGATTTAGAGTGCAAAATAAAGCTTCATGGAGGGTTTCTGAACAACTGGAAATCAAAGGTGTTGGGGGAGGCCATACGTTCATTCCACGACAGGAATGTTCAATGGACAAAATAAAGGGTGACGGAGCAGTGTCCAACCTCGGATCAGCGATAGACAATAACTGTGAGGAAACGCTTTGGAGACAATATCTTGAGACTATACGAGCATATAAAGCACATAATTTGAAAGTTCTTAAGAGCAGAGGTCCTAGGAGAAGTAGATGAAAGTCCGGCAGCCTTGTCATGGGCAGCGGAAGGCCCAGAACTCGTGTGTTGATGCCAGCCACTTAAAGTGACCTTATGAGTGGTATATGAGAGATCGGAAACCATACTGGTAATCGCAGAGGTTGCCATAGTGTTGTCGTTTAAGAAACTGTAATTGAAGAGTAGATTGATTGATTGATGAAGATTAAGCCATCCCAAGAGGTGGCACGGGCATGAATAGTGTCGTAAGAAGAATAGATTCAGACACTGTTGATATACTGGAATATAAGTGAGGGGAAATAAATAGAGGGGTAAGTATAGCCAGTTGAGTGGTGCAGCTGAAACAAAAAAGGGGAATGTTTAGAAAACAACGATGAACCAGGCGCGCCAAAATAGACGCGGGCTCAGAAGCACTCGTCTTCAGCAGATGGGAAAGGCAGCGCCATACAGGCCATAGCCTTGAATGCTTCTAGAGCTTTGAGAACAACGTAGTTGAGATGAAAAAGTGCAGCATAAAAATACACGTAGAAAGACTGGAGGATTGGAACGATTACAATCAACTAGGCTACAGTTTAAGGGAATTATTTTAATTATCGGGAGAAAGCGCCAAGCCACTACGGTTTTATAGCACTTGCAAGGGGTCAAGATAAGGATTTGGGATGGGACGGGGGTGGAAAGGAATGGTGCCCAACTATTTGGACGATTGAGGATTGAACACCGACCTGCATGAAGTAAGACCGTTGCTCTACTGTCCAACCAAAGTGGTTGGGCGCGTTTAAAGGAAAGAGACTCCTGAAAACTTTTTTTTCAGAGGACGCGAGAGATACAGAGCCGTCACACTGAAATAATTGAAGAAAAATATACTTACTAAAATTATGATATTTATAACAAGTCACATGGTAAGCTCTCTGAATTGGGAAATGAAAATTCGCAAAATGTGTCTTGAATGCAAATTATACTGAGAGCAGTGAAGGACACACAGAATAGCTCCTTACAGGAATATATAGAGAATAGTTAACTGCTGAAGGAAAATGTTGCAAATATCTGAAGGCCATATAAGGCTGCCGAGTTGTTTTAATGTAGTATGTATTTGGTATTAAAGGGAAAGATTAAAAAATGGGATAAAACCTTTCGTACCAGCATTAAAAGTCTTATTAACTAGTACAGTATACCCGAACGTTCCTCGTTTAGACAAGCAATAGCCTTCATCGGGAAAACCAAGATAATAAAATTTCTAAAGATTGGGTCATTCGGCAGAATGACCCAATGAATGAAAGTACCAAAGGCGGCAGGAAGGGTCACAGAGTGACGGTGGAACTGTTAACTGTCAAGGTAAAGAAAACGAGGTTATGAATAGAATATCCTAAAGGGGCAGAGACAGCATAGTGTAGACATATGAATAAATTGTTAAAAATAAATAAGCATATTGAAATCACCGAAAGCAATTATAACTAATATTAAATGATGACAACAACAAAATTTAATTGCATAATAACATAATCACTTAAGTCGGCGTAGTCCTCGTAATTATGGAAGTGACAGACACAACAGGAAACAAAAGCAATAGATGTGTCCTGGGTTTGCCAGGACACAGCTCTCGAGTCCTAGAGAGTCTTCGAGCGTCCTCGAGAGTCCTGCAGAGTCCTCGAGAGACTCTCCGGAGAGTCCGGAGTATATTTATGTGACGTAGCCATAATGTATTGACTGCGGATAAGGGGAAAACACGCTATAATAAGATACGGAGAAATGATCAACAGAAATAGCATTAGAAACCTGTTTTACTGAGGAGAAGGATATTTGGTGAAGTTGATACCAAGTGATGCTCTAAAGATATATTTGAAGAAAATCTATGGATATTACAACAGTTAATTATTTAAGAAAATTTGTCTTCATTGGCAAATCATGTGTGGACACCTCTGTGGACACTAATTTTTTTTAATTAAACAATTTAAAATAAAGAACTTACAAGAAAAGACAACAAAATGTTTAATTTTACATTACTAAGAAGTTCAGAGTCATTTTTAATAAATACTTAACATATTAATTTTTTCTTCGTCTGATCTAATTAACGGTTATTTGTTCTGAAACTTAAATAATACCATCCATGAATAACCGTTCAGCACTTTTGCGTCCTAAAATACTTCATATACAACTTACTATATCGCTGCAAAATATAAAATCTTCAAAAATATCTGTACGATGTGGAGTGACCTCAAATTTGTATCATGAACGAGTGCAGCGGGGCGCTATGCGGGCGCGCTAGTGACCGCGGTGGGCGGGGCGCTGTGCGGGCGTGCTAGTGACCGTGCCACGTGGGCGGGGCGCTGTGAGGGCGTGCTAGTGATCGTGGAGCTTGGGCGGGGCGCGGCCAGTGCCCGGGGTATAAAAGTGGATCAACTCATACCTCAGCACCATCTACCAGCACTACGTCTCCTCTGGTTGACTCTGGTCCATAGTTCGCTCTCTGGCTAACATTTCTGCCGTTGAATAGCCATGAAGGTTCTCTTATTCTTAGGTAAATGGAAGATAATTGTCATAGTAATGGTTACAGAGTGTAACACAGTTTTGGTCCCTGGAGAGTACGTGTTATTTTCTAATTACTTATACCTCCAAAGTGTAGAAAAATGGTTATTATTCCCCCTCGAACTTTGCCTAAGACAGCTTAGGCAAGACGTCTTAAAGGTGGTGTGAGACAAAGTAACTGTGACAATATTACTTCAGTAGCCTTCAGAAACCTTCAAGACTGTCTTGAGGCAAAGTTGTCTGAGGGAAAGGTCAAAGTATAGTTTAAGGGGAATAATAGCCAGTTTCTACACTTTGGAGGCATAAATAATTAGAAAATATCATTATCCCAGTGACAAAATATAAATTATTACATAATGTTATGTTTCGTGTATAAGGGCTTAGCAAATAAGAAACGATATACCATGTATACGCAACGTTTCAAAATTACCACGAATGTTTATTTCCTTTCAGCTCTGCTGGGTGTGTCCACAGCTGACAACCGACCTTCTACCACATATGTGAACCAAAATGGAGGTTTTGGTAACGGGTTTGGAACCTCTAATGGAGCCCCAAGTAACGGATATAGAGCTCCCCCAAGTAACAGGTACGGTCCCCCGACAGGTTCCTATGGACTAGATGCCGAGCTGGTTGCTCTGCAGGAGAACATCCCCGGTGGTGGCGTCCCCGGGGAAGACTACCCTGTCTTGGCTTCTCCTCCAGACACTGACTTCTCCTGTGACGCCCAGGCAGTGGCTGGCTATTACGCCGATACCGACCCTGAGGCCCGTTGCCAGGTGTTCCACATTTGCCAGGACCGCGCCGTCAGACGCCAGAAGGACTCCTTCCTGTGCCCCAACGGTACCATCTTCAACCAGCAGTACCTGGTGTGCGACTGGTGGTTCAACGTTGACTGTTCCCAGGCTGAGAACTTCTACTCCGTCAACGAACTCATCGGCGTCGTCCCCGACGTTGGCTATGGTTATGGTCCCGCCACCAACGGCATTAGCAACGGTAACGGTGGCAGTTATGGAAATGGCAATGGAGCTAACGGTAACGGAAGGAACGGGAATGGTAACCGTTATGGATCCAACGGAAACGGTAATGGAGCTAACGGTAACGGAAGAAACGGGAATGGTAACCGTTATGGATCCAACGGAAACGGCAATGGTAATCGGTATGGATCTAATGGAAACGTCAACCGTAATGGACCCAACGGAAACGGTAACCGTTATGCATCCAATGGAAATGGTGTCGGGAATGGCAATGGGGTTAACGGTGCCAGCAACGGGTATGGTGCTCCACCCGCTCCTTCTCCTGTCTACGGAATTGAGTTTTAAAAGTACATTGTTCTCCTCCCTCAAGTCGTCTCTCTGTTTATGCCAATGTAATTTATAAAAATATCCCAATGTGCGTATTTATTACAATCATGTATTCTATTCTAAAAAAAAACTTACCAACAATTATCATACCAGTAAATAATAAACATTATTGACCACTATATTACAGAATTTTCATTCAGATTTTATGGTAGTGATCTTCATTACGCGGCCTATCAACCTTTTAGAGGGTTATTAAGGGCTTACTGGCCAACCAGCAAGAGTTCAGCACACAGTATATCCTTTCACGACCAAAGATCCACTTTCACTCCAAAAAATCTACCACGCTCGGGCTATTCATGCCCGTGCCACTTCTTAGGTGGCTTAATCTTCCTTAATCAATCAATCAGCAAGAATACTTTCGCCCTGGACATTGTCGGCGTGTATATATATATATATATATATATATATATATATATATATATATATATATATATATATATATATATATATATATATATATATATATATATATATGCAAACAAGCCTGAATGGTCCCCAGGACTATATACAACTGAAAACTCACACCCCAGAAGTGACTCGAACCCATACTCCCACAACTGGTATGTACAGGGACGCCTTAATCCGCTTGACCATCACGACCGGACAAAAGGAAGTGATAGCCGAGGCTATATGAACCACTTCCCCGCCGGCACTCGGATGGTAATCTTGGGCATAGCATTTTATCAAATCACCTCATTCTTTGGGGCACACGTGAGGAACACAAATGCAAACAAGCCTGAATGGTCCCCAGGACTATATACAACTGAAAACTCACACCCCAGAAGTGACTCGAACCCATACTCCCACAACTGGTATGTACAGGGACGCCTTAATCCGCTTGACCATCACGACCGGACAAAAGGAAGTGATAGCCGAGGCTATATGAACCACTTCCCCGCCGGCACTCGGATGGTAATCTTGGGCATAGCATTTTATCAAATCACCTCATTCTTTGGGGCACACGTGAGGAACACAAATGCAAACAAGCCTGAATGGTCCCCAGGACTATATACAACTGAAAACTCACACCCCAGAAGTGACTCGAACCCATACTCCCACAACTGGTATGTACAGGGACGCCTTAATCCGCTTGACCATCACGACCGGACAAAAGGAAGTGATAGCCGAGGCTATATGAACCACTTCCCCGCCGGCACTCGGATGGTAATCTTGGGCATAGCATTTTATCAAATCACCTCATTCTTTGGGGCACACGTGAGGAACACAAATGCAAACAAGCCTGAATGGTCCCCAGGACTATATACAACTGAAAACTCACACCCCAGAAGTGACTCGAACCCATACTCCCACAACTGGTATGTACAGGGACGCCTTAATCCGCTTGACCATCACGACCGGACAAAAGGAAGTGATAGCCGAGGCTATATGAACCACTTCCCCGCCGGCACTCGGATGGTAATCTTGGGCATAGCATTTTATCAAATCACCTCATTCTTTGGGGCACACGTGAGGAACACAAATGCAAACAAGCCTGAATGGTCCCCAGGACTATATACAACTGAAAACTCACACCCCAGAAGTGACTCGAACCCATACTCCCACAACTGGTATGTACAGGGACGCCTTAATCCGCTTGACCATCACGACCGGACAAAAGGAAGTGATAGCCGAGGCTATATGAACCACTTCCCCGCCGGCACTCGGATGGTAATCTTGGGCATAGCATTTTATCAAAATGCTATCACTTCCTTTTGTCCGGTCGTGATGGTCAAGCGGATTAAGGCGTCCCTGTACATACCAGTTGTGGGAGTATGGGTTCGAGTCACTTCTGGGGTGTGAGTTTTCAGTTGTATATAGTCCTGGGGACCATTCAGGCTTGTTTGCATTTGTGTTCCTCACGTGTGCCCCAAAGAATGAGGTGATTTGATAAAATGCTATGCCCAAGATTACCATCCGAGTGCCGGCGGGGAAGTGGTTCATATAGCCTCGGCTATCACTTGCTTTTGTCCGGTCGTGATGGTCAAGCGGATTAAGGCGTCCCTGTACATACCAGTTGTGGGAGTATGGGTTCGAGTCACTTCTGGGGTGTGAGTTTTCAGTTGTATATAGTCCTGGGGACCATTCAGGCTTGTTTGCATTTGTGTTCCTCACGTGTGCCCCAAAGAATGAGGTGATTTGATAAAATGCTATGCCCAAGATTACCATCCGAGTGCCGGCGGGGAAGTGGTTCATATAGCCTCGGCTATCACTTCCTTTTGTCCGGTCGTGATGGTCAAGCGGATTAAGGCGTCCCTGTACATACCAGTTGTGGGAGTATGGGTTCGAGTCACTTCTGGGGTGTGAGTTTTCAGTTGTATATAGTCCTGGGGACCATTCAGGCTTGTTTGCATTTGTGTTCCTCACGTGTGCCCCAAAGAATGAGGTGATTTGATAAAATGCTATGCCCAAGATTACCATCCGAGTGCCGGCGGGGAAGTGGTTCATATAGCCTCGGCTATCACTTCCTTTTGTCCGGTCGTGATGGTCAAGCGGATTAAGGCGTCCCTGTACATACCAGTTGTGGGAGTATGGGTTCGAGTCACTTCTGGGGTGTGAGTTTTCAGTTGTATATAGTCCTGGGGACCATTCAGGCTTGTTTGCATTTGTGTTCCTCACGTGTGCCCCAAAGAATGAGGTGATTTGATAAAATGCTATGCCCAAGATTACCATCCGAGTGCCGGCGGGGAAGTGGTTCATATAGCCTCGGCTATCACTTGCTTTTGTCCGGTCGTGATGGTCAAGCGGATTAAGGCGTCCCTGTACATACCAGTTGTGGGAGTATGGGTTCGAGTCACTTCTGGGGTGTGAGTTTTCAGTTGTATATAGTCCTGGGGACCATTCAGGCTTGTTTGCATTTGTGTTCCTCACGTGTGCCCCAAAGAATGAGGTGATTTGATAAAATGCTATGCCCAAGATTACCATCCGAGTGCCGGCGGGGAAGTGGTTCATATAGCCTCGGCTATCACTTCCTTTTGTCCGGTCGTGATGGTCAAGCGGATTAAGGCGTCCCTGTACATACCAGTTGTGGGAGTATGGGTTCGAGTCACTTCTGGGGTGTGAGTTTTCAGTTGTATATAGTCCTGGGGACCATTCAGGCTTGTTTGCATTTGTGTTCCTCACGTGTGCCCCAAAGAATGAGGTGATTTGATAAAATGCTATGCCCAAGATTACCATCCGAGTGCCGGCGGGGAAGTGGTTCATATAGCCTCGGCTATCACTTCCTTTTGTCCGGTCGTGATGGTCAAGCGGATTAAGGCGTCCCTGTACATACCAGTTGTGGGAGTATGGGTTCGAGTCACTTCTGGGGTGTGAGTTTTCAGTTGTATATAGTCCTGGGGACCATTCAGGCTTGTTTGCATTTGTGTTCCTCACGTGTGCCCCAAAGAATGAGGTGATTTGATAAAATGCTATGCCCAAGATTACCATCCGAGTGCCGGCGGGAAGTGGTTCATATAGCCTCGGCTATCACTTCCTTTTGTCCGGTCGTGATGGTCAAGCGGATTAAGGCGTCCCTGTACATACCAGTTGTGGGAGTATGGGTTCGAGTCACTTCTGGGGTGTGAGTTTTCAGTTGTATATAGTCCTGGGGACCATTCAGGCTTGTTTGCATTTGTGTTCCTCACGTGTGCCCCAAAGAATGAGGTGATTTGATAAAATGCTATGCCCAAGATTACCATCCGAGTGCCGGCGGGGAAGTGGTTCATATAGCCTCGGCTATCACTTCCTTTTGTCCGGTCGTGATGGTCAAGCGGATTAAGGCGTCCCTGTACATACCAGTTGTGGGAGTATGGGTTCGAGTCACTTCTGGGGTGTGAGTTTTCAGTTGTATATAGTCCTGGGGACCATTCAGGCTTGTTTGCATTTGTGTTCCTCACGTGTGCCCCAAAGAATGAGGTGATTTGATAAAATGCTATGCCCAAGATTACCATCCGAGTGCCGGCGGGGAAGTGGTTCATATAGCCTCGGCTATCACTTCCTTTTGTCCGGTCGTGATGGTCAAGCGGATTAAGGCGTCCCTGTACATACCAGTTGTGGGAGTATGGGTTCGAGTCACTTCTGGGGTGTGAGTTTTCAGTTGTATATAGTCCTGGGGACCATTCAGGCTTGTTTGCATTTGTGTTCCTCACGTGTGCCCCAAAGAATGAGGTGATTTGATAAAATGCTATGCCCAAGATTACCATCCGAGTGCCGGCGGGGAAGTGGTTCATATAGCCTCGGCTATCACTTCCTTTTGTCCGGTCGTGATGGTCAAGCGGATTAAGGCGTCCCTGTACATACCAGTTGTGGGAGTATGGGTTCGAGTCACTTCTGGGGTGTGAGTTTTCAGTTGTATATAGTCCTGGGGACCATTCAGGCTTGTTTGCATTTGTGTTCCTCACGTGTGCCCCAAAGAATGAGGTGATTTGATAAAATGCTATGCCCAAGATTACCATCCGAGTGCCGGCGGGGAAGTGGTTCATATAGCCTCGGCTATCACTTCCTTTTGTCCGGTCGTGATGGTCAAGCGGATTAAGGCGTCCCTGTACATACCAGTTGTGGGAGTATGGGTTCGAGTCACTTCTGGGGTGTGAGTTTTCAGTTGTATATAGTCCTGGGGACCATTCAGGCTTGTTTGCATTTGTGTTCCTCACGTGTGCCCCAAAGAATGAGGTGATTTGATAAAATGCTATGCCCAAGATTACCATCCGAGTGCCAGCGGGGAAGTGGTTCATATAGCCTCGGCTATCACTTCCTTTTGTCCGGTCGTGATGGTCAAGCGGATTAAGGCGTCCCTGTACATACCAGTTGTGGGAGTATGGGTTCGAGTCACTTCTGGGGTGTGAGTTTTCAGTTGTATATAGTCCTGGGGACCATTCAGGCTTGTTTGCATTTGTGTTCCTCACGTGTGCCCCAAAGAATGAGGTGATTTGATAAAATGCTATGCCCAAGATTACCATCCGAGTGCCGGCGGGGAAGTGGTTCATATAGCCTCGGCTATCACTTCCTTTTGTCCGGTCGTGATGGTCAAGCGGATTAAGGCGTCCCTGTACATACCAGTTGTGG